AATATGGAAGTCGAGAATTTGGGTAGACGGTGCCTTTAAGGGAGCAATAGAAGTATAAACTAACCACACCATCCCTTCGATGTAAAGTATACTTTGTCGAAAACGTCGGCAATGGTGTGTTAAGTCCCCAGTGATCTTTCGGTGGTTCCGGCGGATTGAACGAAGTATTGGCAGCTGAAATATGGACTCTCGCCGTAGCATAAGCACTTTAATTGGAGCACGAAGTAGACTGAAAGAAGACCACACTTGCTGAAAAAGTGTTACGCAGGTGAAAGCTACACAGTGAGAATATGCAAATAAAGTTCTAAGTAATGAGAGTGTGAACTATGTTGCCATGCAAGTCAAAATCTTATTGGATGTCTGCGCATAATGGCGCTGCCAATAGAACACTCAATGAGTCAGTAGGGGAAGGGTCAATCCAAGCTTGTAAATGAACTCCATAACGCGAAGAAACACCTTTACCACTGATAAAAAATGGTGCCGATGAGTCTCTTCTCAGCGTTGACTCTGAAGTAATTGTAGAGAGATAGAAACTGTTACGATAGACAACCGATGAAGACTTTTCTGAAGAAAGATTGAGAATCGGACAGAAAATACCATTTGCAATTGACAGATGCGGGCAGAGGAACCAAAGGCTTTCGCTACATCTGCAGATATGGCCTACCTTCTAATTCAACCAGATAGGCGGCTAGAGGGCGGGGCTTCGATCGATTAGAGATCACGCAAGAGATGGGAGACGCATGCTTTGCATCTCGCTCGCGTACGTGCTCTCTAACCGATCGAAGCCCCGCCCTCCAGCCGCCTACCTGAGAATCAGAGGGCATTTTAAAGATAGGATAACAGTCCAGTTATTATATACGTCAAGGAAACTGCATGCGCGTTCCAAGACCTATCTGGAATCTTAGGGTAATTTACCTCGAAAGATGGACAACGCCATCATCTGCAAATAACTGCGCGCCTTTGGTTCCTCTTGTACAATGTCCGTTGAAAGTCACAGTTCACTTCCGATCAAAGAAAGTATTACAGTAGAAGAGTGCAATACTCGATCAAGTTCGTGAGTGCGCAATCTTGTCAACAGATTAACCTACATAATTCATCATCTGAAAGCGGTCGTCAGCCGGACATCGAAACGCAGGAAGTATGTAAAAGTAAATAGAAAGCGCAGCTTTTACAGGACGTGAATGATAAAATCCACGAAATAGTTGCTCTGTGACTTACTTAGCTCAGTGTTTTTTCGCCGAAATTTGGGCAGGTTTCTCGGATATTCTCCGCTAAGAAAGCGCTTCGTTGTTATGGGGAACTGATTCCCAATCTTTTCCATGTAGTCGTTCCGCATATGTAGCGCTTCGATCAGATGTGACGCTGCATCCTTGAGATCCTCCAGCGGTACCTAAATCTCGTACTCCAGCGAAGAAAAGCAGCAAAGCATAAGAAAACAGCACATCGCATAAAAATAATGAGTGCAATGATCTGAGTCAAGCTAAAAAAAACATACTCCCGACAGCTCCTCGCCGGTAATTGCCATTCGCTGATAATTAACGTCGACTGCATCCCTGAAGTGAACCATTACTGGCAGACACAGTTACTACAAGATTCTGTTAATGTCACATACGATAGTGAACAGCAAAATCACTTCAAACTGCTAGTAAGTTGGTAATTAACTGAGCAGAAAAAAAATCTCTTCAGAATCATTTGCTTTGAATTTATGTGTGCCTGAGTAGAGTGGTTGAAACCGGGCTCGAACTACCCACATAACTATTTCGAATTTTAATCTACCAAACAGCTTTAACCCTTCAACATTCGAAAATTTCCTTTCTGAGAAAAGGTTGCGAATCATGCGTACATTCTACATGAACTCAATGTATGGCCCTAAGGCCAAAATTCTCTGTGTAGCCCGCCACCTAGTGACAGATAATTGTACCGATATGATACATACTGATTCAGACGGCTGCAAAGCCACAGCCCGGACCTACTCTAGAAGCCAAGCATACAACTCCGAGAGCGCCTCAGAACTCAAATCGTTTACAATTTTAGAAATTATTCTTTTCTGTCACCAAATCAAAATATTAGGTTGTCCCATAAATCTTTTCATATTGGCGAAAAATACTTGTCCTCACAAAGGTTTACACTATAGATCTGCCTATGTAGAAGCAGCCCGGCATAGCTTTTAAGAAAAAATGCAAATTTTTATTTTCTCGATTTCTGGCAATGGAAAATATACAACAAGTGTATGTATATACGAATGTCCGATGTAGAACTTATATGCTAGAACAACTTGGTAGTTTGTAGGATTTTTCTGGACAAAGATATGATGTTTCCATTCCTTGGGCATTTGAACCTTTTTAGATTTCTGGTTCAAACTTTGTGTGGATCACACTTGCTGTGCATGTTTGAACTATCTCTTGTAGAAAATGCTTTGCTCTATCGAGAGGTACCCCAATCACTGTGAAAAACTTACGAAGAAATGGCTTGGCAGTAAACAACCAAATATGAAAAGACTTCTGGAACAACCTAACAGTGACTGGTGTAAAGCTGCTTTTTTGATTGAAGGGAAAATGCAATAACTATACTTTGCGTTTATCCATCAACGTACAATGCTGCAATCACCTGAAATCTCTATAGCGACGCTAACTGGAGCACTATCTGTTCATGCTATAGCACTAGACGCACTCAAGCATTGTCTGCGCGGGTTGCCCTCTTCTCTGCACATCCGCAACATTCACCACATGCACACGCGCGTACAGAAAACATCGGAAATGGATTAATCACCCAACATGGCACTCATATGAAGATCTTGCACTCATTCACAATATTGGACTTTTACATATAATCAACGAAACTCAGGAACATATAAAAGCTAACATAAAAGCATGCGCGTTGAACACCATCCCCAAAGAGATTGGTGAGATTTCGGTGAAGTATAACAGCTAGGCCCTAGCTGAGTAAGTATCCTAGTTCAACGGCATAACGCGTATCGAAGTGTCCGGGCAGAAAGTCGATTTGAGTTTGTGCTTAACCGGGGATTCCTCTATGTTATGT